GCAAATTGAAATGCCATTCCTTACTTTACTAAACACTCATACACAATGTTATTTCATATATACTTATTCAAAAGCTATTTATTTCTAAGGTACTTACCCCAAATTGGCTTCTGATTATTCACCGGAATGTTACAACTAAAATATGCTTGCAGGAAAACCCTTGTACATAAACACTTGAGCAATCAAGGCCAACTCCACTTATCTTGAACATTGCTTGATTAATTACTCTAGAACCAAAGCAGGTGTTCACTACATTTGAATTCAGAACTAACATGATCGGGTTAATGATCAACTGATGAAATGTGCAAGAATTGAGAAATAAAACAATTATAGAATTTTTAAAATTATTAAGTTCATATTATTATTTTATCCATTATTTTACTTCTTTTAAAAGTTGCACAGAATTTGAAAGGATGTGCTGGTGGTTGTAAATTTGCTAGTAATTAGTTCTTTTTGTTTCTCACAGGACTCCCACATCAGATTACCAATGCACTTCGTCATAAATATTTCAGAATGCCTATGAGAAAAAGAATAAAGCTAAATCAAGTCCGGAATACAGAGACAAATTACTACTGCATGTACAGAGTTCTTAACAATTTGTCAAATTATACAATAGTCAGAGGATTTTCCTGTGGATATAAGGTGCATTTGAATTCTTAAGAAAAAGAGTGGATATTGAAGAAATACGTTCTTTATTATGAGCAAAAAGGCCAGCAAAAAAGATAATGGATTTGCCAAAATATATCAGGATAATACTATTAGCCGTAGGTAATTTAATGATAAAAATTGGTGTTACCTTTATATACTTTTAAAACTCTACACGATTTTCTTTGCAAAAAGGTCATTAATAAAAAGTCATTAATAAAAAAACGCATAATTTAATGGGTTTCATCTCACTTTTGTAGTTCAAATCAATCACCTCGATGGCAATCAGATATTAAGCACATTGTATTATTTATCCATGGCCTTTGAGAAGAGAAACAAATTAGTCCAGTTTTAATTAAACAAATATCTGCTGATCCCCAAATTTAATACTATTGCTGATAAACTCGTGTAAAAGAAATAAAGCGAGTGTAGATAGCTTTAAATGGAACTCATTTTATTAACTAATAAATTAACTAATAAAATGAGTTCCATTTAAAGCTATCTACACTCGCTTTATTTCACGCAGGACCCTGTTAACATCTTTCCGTGTCCTAACATGACTATAACTTAAAATAGGCCTGAGAGTAGATCATTGCAGGCCATAATCTACTAATTAACTAAAATTTTTGATTTCCCATATAGGCATCTCCAAATATTTTCTAGATCTTGAGTTTTATTCTAATATTTCCTACTCTAACATAAGCACACTCTAGTGCAGCTTTAAGTTAACACAGAGATAATTTTCCAAAAAGAGTTGTGCAACACAAGAATACTATCATTCTACTTGCTTCACACTGCAATACATAAATATTAAGTCTGAATGTCAAGACTATCATTCCATCAATGCTTTTCTACCCATTTACTGACACCAGCAAACATACATCACCAGTACCCTTGGCTACCACATTATTATGTCTGTACACTGCTCAGATCACAATGTGATTTATCCAGAAATAGGCCATTACTTTTCCTACCAATGGCAGAGACCATCACTCTGTCCTACTAAGACCATTTAATGAAATTGTTCTGCAAGGACCTTATATTAGAGCAGTTCAGGCAGAATGTTCATTTTCCTGTCTCTTGAGGAGTAAAAAGCAATAGCCATAAATTTATTCTCCCTGGTTTATACTCTTTTAATAGACAATGAAGACAATACAATTTTCCATAAAATATTGCACAAATTTTTAAAATATTTTCCCAAACCTCTTCTTTCTGCAATCCTATTTTGCTCCTAGAAAATCAGGGGGTGGGGGGAATTATTCATTAATACAAGCCAAGGTGTCTTAGTATAAGGTTGATTGCCATTACTGCCCCACTGTAAAGTATAAACCTGGGAATAGATATAAAAACCACACAAGGGGTTACAGTTATTATCTCATCATTTTTCTTATCTTTTTATAGTTTTTTCAAGTAAAAATGCACTTAATTCCAAACTTTAAAAATATATAAGCAAATGCCCTCAACAGTAAAGAACTTAAAAGTTAATTCTTCCATTTAAGCAAGGACTCATTTCAGGCAATTTTTCTTGGTCAAGATTGTTCCTAAATTTTGAGTGATAATAGGAAAATGTTCTGTCAAAATAAAAGGTTAAACTATGTTTAGTGTAAATATAAGTAATACAAACAAGGTAGCCTGTTGAAGATTATGACATATCCTATTTTAATGTGACCAATTCCTTTTACCATAGAAAAATGGATCATAAGTAATTGAATCTGAATGTTAATTTGAGAAACAGCTTATAATGCCTTCAGTTCTGTTAAGAGTTGATAGGTGAGATCCTGCTACCTGCCTAGAAATTAGATGCTGTGAGTTACAAAAGAAGAGTAAGACATATAAAAAAGATAGTCTTTTTCCTTCTTTTTGTGTTTTTTCTCCAAATTATTAGAAACAGTTACATTAAAAGAAACTCTCATACCTTTAAAAGTTCCCTTCTCATTGAATACATTCATGAGACAACTCTTCTTAATTCCTTTTACAGAAGCAGCCCTGATGTCAATTAAGGGTGGAATTAGAGTTACAGCATAATACTATGCACATGTAGTAGGCTATAGAAAGAAGGTCTGTCTATATGAACCGCACTATCTCAGGCTATCACATCAAACAAAGCTATCTTCAAGGGTAAAAAGTAACATATGTTGAGCAAAAGAATGTCCAAATTATGCCAGAAAAAAATATGCCAAATGATGAATTTCCAACTTATGCCAGTGGGCTCATTCAGTGTTGGTTTAATAAACCACTACGTTTTATATAACTTCACTTCAGAACGCTGAGGGTAGAAAAGGTGCATTCTATTTATATGTGAATATCTGGTGCCTAAAATAGTCTCTTGTACATGCCTTCAATACTTATATGAGGGATGGCTTCATCAGTGGGGAAAAGAGCCTTTGCAAGTTATTTGGTACCCGCATTCTACTTCTATAACATCTTAACATTCCATTAAATTTCTGGGAATTGGCTCAGATTTCACTCCATTGTACTATCACCAACCTATGATTCATAAATCATATGCTCTAAGTTTGAAATGATGGATTATCCAATCAAACCTCCTACCCAGTGCAAGAAGTCTTTGCAATATTCCTTTTGAGACAGTTACCCAGTGTCTGCTTGAACATCTCAAATAATCTTTTTGTCCAAAAGCAACTTTTCATATTTTAAAAAAACTTTACCTTGAAATACTTTCAAATTTACATAAAAGTTGCAGATATAGTTCAAAGAACTGCTATCTCCATCTCCACCTCCTCCTGTTTCCCCAATTGTTAGCATCTACTGCATGTGTGTATTTCATCTATATATCTATCCTTCCAATCAACAAACAGATGTAAATATAGATATGTATATGTGTTACCTGTGTATGTATATATATACATTTTATATATACATATAATTAGTATTTTCTGAATCATTTTATAGCAAGCTGAAAACATAATTTCTATCATACATAAACATTCTATTATTATATTTTTCTAAAACAAGGACACTCTCCTACATCATCACACCACCCAACAGACAAACAAACACACATGCACACACACACAGAGACAAATATACTTTTCTCCTACAGTCTTTCCTGTATGTAATTTTCATTCCATGAGGAGGGAAGGTGATATGAATAGCAGTCGTAATGCCTAACTCAGAATGCACTTCAATGTAGTTAGAATAGGCAGCTGTCTTCTGAAAATCTTTCCGTCACTGCCTTCTCCACCAAACAAAAATATTTGTTCCACTGGTGCTGGAAAGTCTATTGTTAGAATTCATTCCAATGGCTTTATACTATTAAGAAGCAAGTGAACCAAATGATAAATGAAAAATACCACGGTTTGGGAGTAAAACAGACCTGGGCTCCGATCTCAACTCTGCCATTGATAATTGAGCTCTCTCCTAATAGATTCATATCTCATATTTTAGCTCTAAGCTAATATATTCATATGATTATTGTGTGGTTTAAACACAACGGACATTTGCAGTTGCTATACCAAGTGGTCCCCTACATATTGCAAATTATTTTCCTTTACTACATGTATTATTGAAAAATTCTTCTTAGACTACAGCTTGTTTTGAAAGGACTCTTTAAAATATAAATATACAGTAAGTCATTATAGTTATGTAAATGAATTTACCAATTCTTTCTATAGGACACAATAAATAAAGCAGAATAATAATATTAGTTGCCTGGAACATGATTATATTTATAAATAAAAACGGGTCAACAAACAGAGGCAGTAAATTGCAGAACCAAATATTTCCCACTTGACTTTCCACATAAAGTGGGTCATTTATATAACCCCAGGCCCTTTGATTTTTTTTCAAGACTATTACCTCTTTGATGTGCTATGATATTCAATTTTTTTATTATACTTTAAGTTCTAGGGTACATGTGCACAATGTGCAGACATTCAATTTTAAAGTACAGTATAATGAACTATTGAAGCAGATCAGATGCAGTAATTTCCCAATAAGCTTATAGAATGAATAAAAGCCTATAGGAACTAACAAGAAGTGGTGCTATTGACAAGGTCTGATTACCATTATGAGAATTATTTAAAAAGCACTAGAAAGTGTAAAAAAGTGGAAACAGTTTTCTTATTCACATTTGTAGATATTTACTGTATCAGTACTTTTCATATATTTCAATGCAGGTTTTACAACGAAAATTGATCAAAAATATTTGTCTATAGGAACAACCAGAAGGGCAACTGGTTAGAACTTTGTTCTGGAATCGTAAATTTTTTATATAAAAATTCTTGAGAATAAATACCAAGATGATGCTCCAACTTTAGTTCAATATTTATTTTATTAAGAATACAGAGAAATTGAAAGACGATGGATAAGAGCAGTACTAAATTATCCCATGAAGACAAAACTTCCTGAAGTTCAAATATAAAATAAAAGGCAGAATTCTTGATGCTTTTTCTGCATTTTATATATGTACTTTACGTGACGATGAAGTTTTTTCTATTATAATTACTTCTTATTTTTCTTCACTTCACAACTTTTTTCTTGGCATAATTGCTTGGCTTTTCGTTCATGATCCAGAATTTCCTTGGGAAACAGGTTTTTCTCATCAAATACAGCTTTCAAAGCTACAAAATGATGAGGAAAATTAAAAGTAAATTATATTTGTTAAGAGACCTATTTAAATGAAATAGTGGGAAGAAAATTCTCAAATTTTGCTTTTTCTAAAAATCTTTGTAAAACACAGAGTGTATTTGGGGAAATTTTCTCTAAGCTTCTGCTATTCTGTTTACTTCAATTTACATCTAAAAGTTAAATTTTAGTAGAGTTTGTTCTTTTAATGCATATATCTTAATAGAAATCCACCATTCTAAGGGTAGAGGATTATAGAAGTTTGTGTTTTTCGTTTTTGTTTTTTAATCTACTTAACAGCTATCAAGACATAAAGAGCCAAGAAAAAATTATTCTGTATTGAAATAAGACAACTAAAATAATCAAAACACAGTTTTACTGTCTGCATGAATAAAGAAGTGCATCTACAATCACATCCATAGGGGTTGCAGTTTTAGGAAAAAAAAGAACCAAATTATTTCCATGAGTGGTTATATTGTGCATCAGTGAGAAGTAGGAAGAAACTGCGCCATGCATTCTAGAAAATAATTTTGGCATTTTGCATAATTTTATTATTTAAACAAATGCTTATTGAATGTCTATTATACACAATGTTCTATGCTCAGACATAAATGAGGCACAAATACGACTAAGTCATGACCTTTCTTCCAATTGGTGGAAACTAGAAGCAGTAACCAAATAATCAAAATATCATATACAATAAGATATCATTCCAAGAGAATATAAGCAATGCAAATTGTGTATAAATATGTAAGGGATATTATAACAATATATAAAGATTTTTTAAAAAGCTTTAAGAATTAGGTACTTATTTGAGGTAGGTCTTGAATTCCAGATAGGATTTTAATTGATAATAAGAAACATGGAGGTGGGGAAGAATTGGCAAGGGTTGGATAGGAAGTGTCAACTAGAGAAAAAATGGTGAATAAAGAATGGAAAAATAGGCCGGGCATGGTGGCTCATGCCTGTAATTCCAGCACTTTGGGAGGCCAAGGCAGGTGAATCGCCTGAGGTTGGGAGTTCAAGCCCCATCTGGCCAACTTAGTGAAACCCCATCTCTACTAAAAATACAAACAATTAGCCAGGCGTGGTGTCAGGTGGCTGTAATCCCAGCTACTTGGGAGACTGAGGTAGGAGAATCGCTTGAACCCCAGTGGCAGAGGTTGCGGTGAGCCGAGATCACACTATCACACTCCAGCCTGAGCAACAGAGCAAGACTCTGTCTCAAAAATAAATAAATAAATAAACAAACAAACAGAATGGAAAAATAATAACTACTATTGGAATAACTCTAAATAATTCAGTACAATTTAAAAGAAGCATAAAATATGTGAAAGAAAGTAAAGTGGAATAAAGTTGGAGCTGGACCTAGGAACTTTTTAAACACCAACCAAAAAATATGAAGTTTAAAAAGTAAACATCGAATGACTTTACAGTATAGTGGCATCTTTATATATTTGGATTAAACACAAAATAAAACAAAAACTTTCCCCTTCCAGTATACACTATACTGTATATAGGAAGTATATGTAGACTTTGGCTACAGAAGTCAAGATCTTCCCTCTTCTCGTGGAAATCATATAAAAGCAACCAAGAAAATGAGAGATAATAACTTTGCAAATAAATTGTACTTTAACAAAACTCAAAGACAGATGTAATCTGCAGCTCACAAAATATAAAGAAGCAAAACAGCTGAGACAGGACAAAAGTTGCTCAAGAAAAAGTGAAAAGTATAGAGAGTATAAGAAGGCCAGCAGCAGCATCTTAGCATGTGCTGGGAAAAAGATAGTCACTGTGAGTGACAGGCTCACCAGGAAATACAAATGCTTTATTCCTTATACACATGGATGCTAAAAAGAGGTGAAGGTAGCTGGAAGCAGAAGCTCTCTGGGACCTGGTTTGGATCGGTGAAATAGATGAGGTAGGGCTACCTGTATCACACACATGAGTCATTTTTCGCTAAAGCACTCTGTCCCCATGGGATGTAAAACCTGAAGGATACCCTGTTCTCACATCCCAGCCTCTTACTCAAGGATTTACCACGTATTTCAAGTTAAAAAAAAAAAAAAAAAAATCCACCTCATTAAAGTTAATTAATTAAAAGAGGAAACTTTTAAAACTAACACAGCATGAACACAAACTTATATAAGGAAAAACTAAAACCAATCAAATTGAAAAAAGAGCAGTAAAACTAATCAATACATGAGTTACCACCAGAAAAATCTTGCACAAACATTGTTACCAAGCAGTTTGACAAAATTAAATTTTAAAAATTAAAAAACAGCAGTTGCCTCCATGAAGGAAGATCACAGAGCAGAAGTGAAAAAACTCAGGGAAGAGATGAAGACACGAGAGGAAATGATTAAATATGAGGTAGCAAAACTCAGAAATAGAGGCAAAAAAATCACCAGGGAAAACAGAGTTCCTGGAACACAGTAGGAAACCTAGAATATAGAAATAAGAAAAAATATATAATAAAAGGAAAATTATAAAAAGAATGAATTAGAAAAATAATAAATGTTGAAGACACACAAATAAATAGATCTACAAACATATAATTAGAGTAGGTACTTATATTAGTTCGCCTTCACACTGCTGATAAAGACGTACCCGAAAATGGGAACAAAAAAAGCTTCAATTGGACTTACAGTTTCACGTGGCTGGGGAGGTCTCAGAATCATGGCAGAAGGCAAAAAGCACTTCTTATATGGCAGCAACAAGACAGAAATGAGGAGGAAACAAAAGTGGAAACCTTTGATAAACCCATCAGATCTCATCAAAGTTATTCACTATCACGAGAATAGCACGAGAAAGACTGGCCCCCATGATTCAGTTATACCTCCCCGGAGGTCCCTCCTACAGCACGTGGGAATTCTGGGAGACACAATTCAAATTGAGATTCGAATGGGAACACAGCCAAACCGTATCAGTACTTAAGAAAGAAAACCAAAATATAACAAATATTTAAAGGCATCATTTAATAAAGGTTTCTTCAAATAAAAGTCAATCTGACATATGTCGAAAGGACACATTGTGCACTAGGAATAATTGACTTAGAATACTCAAAACCAAGTCATATCCCAGTAATGTTATTAGACTTTAAAGATAAAGAGGAAATCCTCTGGCAACTATACAAAATAATCAAGTGACCTAAAAAGGAGGAAAGTATCTTGCATTAGATATTTTATAGGAATGACCAACACCAGAAAAGAGTAGAGCAATGCCTACAAGATAATCAGGGAAAGAATATGTGAGCTAAGAATATTACATACATTCAAGTTGTCCTTCAAATCCAAAAACTATCAATGGTGTCAATATGTAAGAAATTTAGGGATCATTGTTCCGCAGAGTCCTCTTTGAGGAAATTTCAAAAAGCTAAACTGAGTCCGGGCACGGTGACGCCTGTAATCCCAGCACTGTGGGAGGCTGAGGCAGGTGGATCAAGAAGTCAGGAGATGGAGACCATCCTGGCTAACACAGTAAAACCCAGTCTCTAACAAATACAAAAAAAAACAAAAAAACTAGCCGGGCGTGGTGGCGGGCACCTGTGGTCCCAGCTACTTGGGAGGCTGAGGCAGGATAATGGTGTGAACCCATGAGGCAGAGGTTGCAGTGAGCCAAGATTGTGCCACTGCACTCCAGTCTGGGCGACAGAAGGAGACTCTATCTTAAAAAAAAGAAAAAAGAAAAAAAAAAAAAAAAGCTAAACTGAGAAATGACTGAGAAATTTTTGAAAAAAATAACTTGGTGGTGATCACTGAATATATTTAAGTGTAGAAGTAAAATTAAAACAATGTGGAGTTAAGGATGACAAAAATAGAAGGTAAAGTCCATGTGCCTGACAATGTTTGAATGATACAATTGACAAAAATTATGAGGATAAAGGAGAAAGAAATCTTGTTTATGATAAATCAGAGACAAAGAATAACATTGAAAACTGAAAAATCAACTAATAGCATAGGCAAATTTAACAAAATAAAAGTAAGCATAAAGAAAATCATGTTATGGAATGAAATTGTGTGGTAGAAGGGAGGCAGGAGAATGAGAAAACAAGTTTATTCTATCATCACTGAGCATAGATCTAACAGTGTCTGAGAGAAATGAAGAACTAGAGGAATTACATAATTCCTATGATTATAATGTTAACCACTAGAATAAACATACACACAAACATAAACAAATAAAAAGCTACAGATGCAGTGAAAAATTTAAAAATATATAAATAGCATAAAACAGTCTGAGAAACAAAGTGTTTAATATATAAATATACAGATACTCTATTTCCCAATTTTTTTTAAAAAATGATTTTTAAAAAATGGATTAAAAGCGAAACAACACATCTGAAATAAAATGATTCAGGAATTTATTAATAAAAGAATGGAAAAAATATATTAGACAAATGAAAGAAGTTTCACCCTTGACTGACATACTTGCCAAAGAAAGCAGGGATCATGTTCAAAATCATAAATACATATAGAAACCCTAAAAGTTTACACAGAAACTTGTAATAGCGGCTGCAAGAAATAGATGACAGTGGGAACAATACCGAACATCATCATAGGAGGGAGGGAAACTTCTCAATGAATAATTTTTTGTATGTTCTAATATTTGAATTCTGTGAATACGTTTTTTTTAAGCAATAAGATGAAAATGAATAAATCTGGAACTAGTATTAAGCAGAGATAAAATGAAAGACAATACTTTCTATTTGCCTAATACCAGTGATATGAGATAATGTGGATATCTGTACATCAGCAGCTGGTCCTGTCCCATATGACTGCAGATTAGCACTTTAGAAGCACAAGCGATTCTGACGCCTTTGAGCCCTTCTGAGATATATTGTAAAAGCCAGAATGTTACTTCTGAAATAAATTCTGTTTTACTGAGATTTGTCTCTCAACTAGATGACAAATTTTCATTGTAATTGACTGGGTTTCAAGACCATTAACCCAATAACTGATAAGTCTTTGTAAGATATTGAAAGAGACAAACTCAC